TCAGTTGCTTCATGATGTGCTTGTAATAAACCCAAACTCCTCCGGGGGGCCTTGCAGGCCTTTGGTAGCTGCCGCCTCTCCCTCTTAACCCTCCACCTCAGGTTCTGCCTCCCTTTGTCCTGCTCAGGTCTTCACACAAGAAAGACTGTCTTCATTCTTCACTTTTCTAACTCCTCCCCAGCCCCCAGACTGCTTAAAGAATTGTTTATCCCTTGCAGGAGGTGGAGGGTGTAACTCAGTGATGGAGTGTGTGCTTAGCATGCGCCATGTCCTGGGTTCAATCCCCAGGACCTCCATCAAAATAAATGATTAAATAAACCTAAAATATTTGTTAAATGGATGAATATGCTAAGCATCATGAGGATACCAAAGATGAAACAGATACATGATCACGCCCTGGAGGAACTCACCCTCAAGAAAGGTGAAATGTCAGAAACATAACATTAGGGCAAGACAAGTCCTGATGCAGGGCCATGATTCTAGGCAGGGAAATCGCAGACCCTGGAGGGAGAGTGGAGGGCAAATGTGGATGAAGACACATGGGTCAGCTTAACTGCAGCACAGAGTACATCAAGACAAAGGGAAAGAGACAGGCTGAAAAAGAGGAGTTGCATTGGATTGTCAAAGGCCTCATTTGCCAGGCGAAGAAATCTGGGCTGCATTCTGGAGGCGGTGGTGGGTAACATTAACTCAACTCAACTCAGCCTCTGAAAACCTTTAAACAATGTTTTCAGATATACCAAAAAAGTAAAAATAATAGTACAAAAATACTCATATACTCCTCACCAATATTCAGCAATGAACATTTTGCCTAACTGCTTTATAAGTAGATATACAGATACATAGATTTAAATATATAGATATAAATGTGTGTATGCATTTCAAAATCTGCTCATTTTTTTTTGGCTTTCTTTTTTCTTTCTTCCTTTCCTTTTCTGACCATTTCAAAAGAAATTTAAAGAATCCTAACATTTTTCCAATTAAAACAAATTATTTATTTATATATTTTCTTCCAGTTTTATTGAGATATAATTGACATACAGCGCTGTGTAAGCTTAAGGTTTACAGCATAATGATTTCACTTATATACAGCATGAAATTACTACAATAAGCTTAGTGAACATCCATCATCTCATATAGATACAAAAGTAAAGAAATAGAACAAAAATATTCTTTCCTTGTGATACGAACTCTAAGGAGTTACTCTCTTAACAACTTTCATATATAACATACAGCAGTGTTAATTGTACTTATCAGGTTGTACATTAAACTCCTAGTACTTATTTATCTTATAACTTATCTTGACTGCCTTCTTCCAACTCCTCCTCCCTTACCCCTAGCCCCACTTCTGGTAACCACAAATCTGATCTCTTTTTCTATGAATTGTTTGTTTTCGAAATATCATTGACCTACAACACTGCGTTAGCTTCTGTTATACAAGATTGTGATTCAATACTTCTATTTCAAAATGTTCACCACAGTGTCTAGTTACCATCTGTCACCATACAAAGATATTGTACAATTATTTACTATATTCCCCATACTGTACATTTTATGCAACTAGAAGTTTGTACTTCTTAATCTCCCTCCCCTATTTTCTCTCCTCCTCCCCTCCCCCTCCCCTCTGGCAACCATCTGCTCTATGTATGACTTTGTTTCTGTTTTGTTATGTTTGTTCATTCGTCTTGTTTTTTAAGATCCCATGTATAAGTGATAATATATAGTATTTGTCTTTCTCTGTCTCACTTATTTAACTAAGCATAATTCTGTCCAGATCCATCCATGTTATTGTTGTGGCAAATAACAAGATTTCATTCTTTTTTATGGCCAAGTAGTATTCCATTGTATACATATACCATTTCTCCTTTATCCTATCATCTGTTGATGGACATTTAGGTTGCTTCCATGTCTTGGCTATTGTCAACAATGCTGCAGGCAACATGGGGGTGCATATATCTTTTTGAATTAATGTTTTCATTTTCTTCAGATAAATACCCAGCAGTGGGATTTCTGTATCATATGGAAGTTCTATTTTTAGTATTTTTGAGGAATCTCCATGATGTTTTTCATAGTGGCTTCACCAATTTATATTCCCAACGGTGAACAAGGGCTTCCTTTTAGCCACATCCTCACCAACACTTGTTATTTGCTGTCTTTTTGATAATAGCCATTCTGACAGGTGTGAGGCGATATCTCATTATGGTGTTGATTTGTATTTCCCTGATGATTAGCAATGTTGAGCATCTTTTCCTGAGCCCATTGGCCATCTGTATATCTTCTTTGGAAAAGAAGATATTCTTTTCAGATCCTCTGCCCATTTCTTAATTAGGCTGTTTGGTGTTTTAAGGTTGAGTTGCATGAGTTCTTTGTATATTTTAGATATTAATCTCTTATTGAATATATCGTTTGCAAATATCTTCTCCAATTTAGTGGGCTGCCTTTTCATTTTGTTGATAGTTTCTGTCACTGTGCAATAGCTTTTAAGTTTGATTAGGTCCCATTTGTTTATTTTTGCTTTGTTTTCCTTGCCTGAGAAGACATATCCAAAAAATATTGCTAAGACATGTCAACGAACATACTCTCTGTGTTTCCTCCTAGAAGTTTTACGGTTTCAGGTCTTACATTGAAGTCTTTAATCCACTTTTAACTTATTTTTGTAAATGGTATGAGAGGGCAGCTCAGTTTGATTCTTTTGCAGGTAGCTATCCAGTTTTCCCAACAGCATTTCCTGAAGGGACCGACATTTCTCCAGATTCTAAAGTTGCTTTCCTTCATATTCATCATACCAATATTACACTGAAAAAGGGTAGTAACTGCCTAACATCATCTATCACCAGTCCATTTTCAAATTTCCCATTATTCCCCAAATGTCTAAAAGGCTGGTTACTTTTTTTTTTTTTCACAACCAGAATCCAATCAAGCATTTGGTTGCGGTTTTTAAGTTTTTTTTATGACTCTTTGTTATGACATCACTTTTCTTTAATCTTTATATCTTATCTTCTATAAAACCAGTGTCTTATAGAACGTCTCACATTCTTGATTTATGCAATTGTCTCCTTGGGAGTGTTGTTTAACTGGTTCCTCCAGCTCCCGTAAACTGGAGATTAGATCTAAAGGCTTGATTGGATTCAGGTCCAACATTTTTGGCAAGAAAACTTAGATTAAGTGAAGCTATATACTTCATGCTGCAGCACACCAAGGAACTCAAAAATGTTGACTGTCCAGGGTTAATGATGCTAAATTGGATAACTGGGTTAAGGTGGGGACAGCCAGATTTCCCCATTGCAAAAGTCTGTGCTGCTGCTTTGTGGTTGGCAAGTAAACTGAGGAATGTGTTTGGCATCACAACTCCCATTTTTGTTGCTGTTTTAGTTTACCAAAAAAGTTCATTTGCATTTAACAGCAACGATATCCCTGTAAGGTTTTATTCCTATTTAAGAGAAATGAAAACTGAGGCTTGGAGTGCTTAAACGACTTTCCCAAGATCAGAGAGCCAGTAAGTAGCAAAGGCAGGACTCAGACATAAAGGGGTTCATTTTCATTCCGTTAAAACAACAACGACAACTAATCCCAAGTAGCCTACAACTAACTGCAGATTTTCAGTATATTCTCTCTCCAGAATTCAACAGCTATTTCTCTTCTTTTAAAAACGTTTTCTGAAAAAGCGTATTTTTATTTTGATACCATGAAGCATATTGCCAGGAAAAAAAGCAATTTTTTTTTTTTTTTACAATGTCTCACAGCTATTTCTATTTTCGGGCAAAACTAGCAAAACGTTAACAGGTGCCGGGTTTCCCAAATCTCCTTTTGTAACAATAGTTGACAACATCTAAATGTTACATGAGTTACTGAATTTGTGACTTTCGCAAATGTGTGAACAAAGTCAATTTATTTAACGTAACCCTGTGTGTGTGTGTTTGCAAAGTTAAGCATACACATGTGCGCTTATGATGCTAAGACCAGCAAGGGCCTTTAGGACTGTTGGAGACACCGGAACGAAGTACCCGTAAAGTCAGGTCCTATTTTCTCCTCATAGCTAGGTCAGCAAAGCTTGGGACCAAATTAGGAGAAGCATGTGACAGTCTAGAATCAAGAGATACGGGGTGTGGTGCGATGATGAGCAAACCAGGGAACGGAATTCGGATGGTGGATTCAGGGGGAAACTGGGGAAGCAATTTCTGGGCTCCCCAGGAATTCAGGCCTCCAGTTCGGAGCCAGCTACTAGAAGAGGGTCTTAGAAGGGAGAAGCTCAGGCAGGCGCTAACTACTGAGAATCATTCTTACTAACAAGAAACCATGGAGATCTTAACTCAGAAAGGGGGATTGAAACACCGCCCGTTCACAGAAAAGCGCTTTTGAGAAGCTGACCCGCTTTTGCCTCCCACAAACTTCCCCAAAGGTGGAAGCAGTTTGGCACGCCCCTCAACCGCACTCCGGGACTTTATTGGCTGCCCCAGCCTGCCCCTTTCTCAATCAGCCTCTTTCATTGGTCAGCACTGCCAACCTCCCTTTTCACAGACAATCCCAAGAACCAATCATCTCTAATCACCGAGCCGTCTCTCCGCCGGCATGTGAATGATATTCATCCCAACCAATAAAGAATGAAAGTGAGAGGCCCCTTTCTCCTCACTTCGTTCAGTAAATGGTAGAAAAGGTTGAGCAGCTGACATCAACCACCAATCCGTAAGGGCGGAAGAGGGACGAGGAGAAGAGTGATGGGAGGGGTGACGTGGCGGTGACGGGGGCATAAACTAAAATGAGTGGCAGAAATACTAGCCAATCGGCAATCAAACTAGCCGGGCCGTCTGCATCCTAGAGTCCTCCCTGACCGCTAGAGACTTCGGGAAAGCACCAATGAGCTTTACATGAGTCTGATTGGCCTTCACCTGCACCAATCAACGGTGAGTCTGGCGGAAGCGTCCCACCCCGGGCTCTCACTGGGCGGTGTGGAATGACAGGCCCCAGAGAAATGCCAATGTCCTGGGGTCTTCAGCAAGTGACACTCAGCGGCGCCAATCGACTTTTTCCTTCCCAGCGGCCGAGCCCTCCTCCCCACGGCCGGCCTGGCGGGGCGGGGACGCTGCGCGGCGGCTGCTGATGCGCTAGCCGTGTGGGGCCCTCCGGGCGGCGACGGCGGCTCTCGTAGGCGGTTCCGGTCCTGTATCTCCGGGCGGCGGCGACTCATGGCGGCGACGGAGCTGAGAGGAGTGGTGGGCCCGGGCCCGGCGGC